CTTGAAACTCAGATTGCTGTTTTGTTTTGTTTTCTTTTTTCTTTTTCTTTCTTTTTTTTAGGTACTGGGAATCAAACTCAGGACCTTGTGCTTGTTAGGCAGGCACTGTGCCACTGAGCTACACCCCCAGTTGTTTTGTTTTGTTGGAAATAGGGGCTTGCTATGTAGTCCAGGCTGGTCTTGAACTCTTGGAGAACTTTCTGCCTCCACCTCACCCAGCCTTGAACCTCAGTCTTCTTAAGCAAGGCCCTATTGTTTCAGTGGTGTTAACACTGTAGGTCCCTACCCTAGAGGTCCAGGAAGCCTGTCCCTGGCACCGTAGGGACAGCACCATAGCACCCACATGTAGAAAGTGGGAGTTTATCAAGCAAGAATGCACAGGTTCTGTGTGTGCGTGCGCACCCACAATGTGCCATCCAACCAAAATCTGTTTGGTTTTTATTTTATTTACGTATTTATTTTGGTCTTTTTTTGGAGACAGCCCTGGCTGGCCTCAAACTCACAGCAATTCTCTCGCCTCAGCCTCCCAAGTGCTGGGATTACAGGTGTGCGCCACCACGCCCGGCCTATTTTTTATTTTTTTGGAACAGACATTGAATGCAGGGCTTTACTCATGCCAGGGCAAGCACTGTACCACTGAGGTATCTCCCCAAACCCCTTTTTAATTTTGAGACAAGGTCTCACTGAGTTTCCCAGGCTGATACCGGACTCGCCTCAGCCTCCTGAGTAGCAGGGAGCGAGGCATGTGCCACCACACCCAGCTGTTCGATGATAGCCTCTGCTCTCTGGCTCTCTGGCTGTGGAGATCTCATGAAGGCCACACAGATACTGCTATTGAGTTAAATACGTTCTTATCTCATGAGCATCCTCACAACACAACTGCCTAGGTAGGGGCGTCAGCCATCAGTATGGCCGGCCAGGTTGGAGATGGGCAGCCCAAGGTATGGGAGCGCAGGGAATTACAGTCTGACTGTGTGGCAGACTGAGTCTCCTGTGTGCTCCTACCCTTCTTGGGTGGGGGTCCTTTCTCATGGCACCCTGGACCTTCAGGCCACCTGATGGGGCAGAATTCTGATCTGGAAGAAATGGTTCCCAAGGCCGGGAGCGCTCCATCCCAGAGCCGGGAGGGAGTTGTCTGCCCTTCAGCCTCTCCCAGTGGCCTACCCATTAGCACGGGGCCCTGAGGACAGGGCCGTGGCTCCGGGTCGCCTGGCGGGTTGCGCGGGGGCAGGGTTCCTCCTTCATTCAGAAGCTCAGCCCTGTGAGGGTGGCAGAGGGCGGGTGCAGGACAGACTCAACCTCCAGCCCCCTCCCCCTCACTGACAGCTGTAATCTGCTTGGGAAAATCTCTTTTTTTTCCCCCCCCTGCACAGGAAAAAATACTAGTTGTCCCGATAACAAGGAAAACAAAATCCAGCGCAGGGCATCAGAGACTTCCTGAGGCGGAAAACAATGTCGAGGGAGAGCTCAGTGGAGAAGGTCCGAGCTGGGAGGCTGAGGGGAGCCCAGAGAGGACACTGGTCCAGTCCTATCCGGCCAGTGGGGGAGGGGACGACAGATCGAGGAACTTGGAAAAAAGATTTCCCCCCCAAAACCTTGAAGTCTGGGCTGTTGAGCTATATCCGGGAAATGATTCAGGACAAGATCACGTCCCCCAACATGGGACCAGGCCCCCATGCTCAGGTGGGATAAGCCCACCTCTCTTCCTGCCCAGTCCCCAGGCTGTTCTCTCAGGGGATAGCCCTAGGGCCTAGGGGTTGGGGGAAGGTGGGAGGGTCCCTTTGGAGCCATCCCATGAGTACCCCTCCCCCAGGCTTTTTGCTTTGTCTGTCCACAGCTACTCCCTAGGTAACTTTCCACTGGGGAGATGTAGTCCAGAAGGGAAGGACTTTTTCTTTTTCTTTTTCTTTTTTGAGTCAGGGTCTTGCTTTGTAGTTCAGGCTGACCTTGAATTCACTATGGCATCTAGGCTGGCGTTGAACTCACAGAGATCCTCTTGCCTCAGCCTCCCGAGTGCTAGGGTCACAGGTGTGCACCAAGAGATCAGCTAGGGACTAGAAAGACTCTTGCCTTTTCTCATGGGGCACTCAGCTACCTGGTCCCTCAGATGGGTGTGGCTCAGAGTACTCCAGACCTGGGGAGCGAAGGCCCTGGGAGGCAGGGCCCTGTGCTCCCAGCAGGCAGTACCCCCTAACTATGCCTTCTCACTGGGGTACTTGGGAGCTTTTAGAAAATACCAGTCCCTCCTAGGCCTCCTGTCAAACCAGTTCCATCAGGGATTGCTAGGGAGCTGCTCAGGCGATTCCTATGTATGGCCAGAGCTGAGAACTTGTCCATGATCCTGGCTCCTTTGCCTGTCCTTTTACCACTGCCGTCAGAACTGGCCTGTGTCAGATCACAGCCCATCAGAAGTGAGCACCTTTAAGCCAGTGGCCTCCAGAGGTAGCTGCAGAGCGCCCTGCCCTGGCTGGAGGGCAGCTGCCTGACCCATTGCAGGTTCTGGGTTACCCTCCCGTTCTGCTGCTCCTCTTCTAGCTGGCCGAGGCCACCTGCAGCCTTTGTTCACAGGAGTGTGACCAAAAACCTGCCCAGACCTTAATTACAACCCCACAGCCTGGTCATCAACCACTCAACTTGCTCGGCCTCTGCCCCACAGCCTGCAGCCTGCAGCCACCCTCCCTGGTCAGGCCAGCTTTGTTTGCCAGAGGACCTGAGCTTCCTTCCCGCAGCACCATTGGCCCTTGCTGTACAGAGGCTCTGAGCAGAGGCCAGGACTTCTCCAGGCCTCAGGGGCTCTGACAGGAGTTGCTGCCTGGCAGAGCCGAGTCCTGGGCTTCCCGGTGACCCCTCCAGTTCTTTTTGGTGGTGCTAGGGATTGAACCCAGGTCTCATGCATGCTAGTTGGGCACTGTACCAATGAGTAGCACCTCATCCTCTGGCTTGGTTTTGATTGTCTAGAGCATGCACGAGTCACCAGTAGGTCTGTGAGGGGCATGAAGAGGATTCCTGCTTTCAAAGCCCTTCTCAGGACAGAAGGAAAGACTGTGACAAGGTATCACAAAGTAGGGCCATCTGTATTCTCAAAACCTTCCCAGGAGGGCTGGGAATATAACTCAGTGGCACAAGGTCCTGAGTCTGATTACAGGTACCAAAAAAAAAAAAGTGGTGACAAAATCTTCCCAGGAACTCCACACTAGCACGGAATAGGGAATATTGCAACCACTCCATAAATGTTTGTTATTTTGTTTTCTTTTTGGCAACGGGAATCAGAACCTTGTACTTGCCATAAATGTTTGATGAATGAATATTTGTTTTGTAAATGGAGTATAGAATGTCCTTTCCCTGGCACAACAGATAAACATCTCGGGGTCAGGGATAGGGTGGGGTTCCCAATTGTAGCAAATGTTGGAGGGGAAGGGTAGAATGAGCCAGGGCCTGCAGCCCGGCCAAAAAAAACCTCATTAAGGTCCCTTTTGGCTCCTGGCCAGCCTCTCGGCATCTGAGGAGGCTTGCAGGTGCCCATAGGTCACCAACCCCTCTACCCAAGTTGTCTTTTTCGCCTGGCGGATAAGCGAGAGGCTGAGAGTCAGGGCACAGAGCAGGCTCTTCCTCCCCTCCCAAGGGGGCCTCCTTGGCCGGGATTCCAGGGCTCCCCCATCTCCCTCAGCCCAGCCCCCACCCCAACACTGTATTTTCCAGACAGGTGTAAGATGCTCTGGACAAGCGGCAGCCTGACTAGGGAGAGGGGAAGTCCCGCGTGTCCCTGGGGCATCTGCGTCCCCAGGGAGACAGTCTGCTCCCCACAAGCTTAGGCTATGACCCTTGGCCTGGGCAGTGGAGAACAGGCCTCAGCAGCTTAGAGTGAAGGGGCCCGCAAGGGAGGGGTCCAGTCCCAGCTGCCTGGCCCTGGGTACTAACAGGCCACGCAGGGCCGCAGAGATGGGGGGGCACCACCACCTGCTTTTCCTTGTTTTGTTTTCAGGGCACTAATTACTGTGCTGAGCTCGGAGCTGCCTAATGAGGCCGTTTGGATTTCCTGTTGTTCTGGCTTCCCGAGACCCTTAAAGGGCCAGCATCACGAGGGGAGCATGCCCTGGGCAGAACACTGCCCATTCTGGGCTGGGGTGAGCACGGAGGACCACCCTGGGCTTGGCCTGCCTGCCAGGGCCACTGAGGGGTTGTGAGTGAGGGATGGAGGGCTGGCCTAGCTTCCTGCTCCTACACCCTCCCCTAAAGCCCACTCAGCGGTGCCTGGGGCTGGTGCCGGAAGCAGGAGCTTCAGAACCCTGTGGCCTGGCCAAGGCTCCGGTGGGGCGGGGAGGAGCGGCAGGGAGACCAGGGCTGAGGAGGAAAGGCCAGTGATGTCACCAGTGCCCAGACTGTGAGAACCGCCGCAGCACCAGGCAGGAGGGAAACGCCGTGACGTCCTGCCCACCTCCCACCCCCACCCATGCCCCCAGCTGGAAAATAAACACTTGTATGAGTGGCCAGCACCACTTCCAAAGGAGCGGGCTGGTGGGGCTAGAGACCCAGAAACACGCTGGAGCTGGGCAAAGGCCTGTGGGCCAGCTGGCCCTGATCAGCCTCCTTGATTGCACAACTTCTGCACCTCAGGGCTCCTTTCAGCTTGCGGGGAGCTGATGGGGCGCGGGTGCCAGGGAGCCTCCTTTCACACTTGCTGCAGGCTGCAGGAGGACTCCGGGCAGGTAAAGGGACACCACCCGTCTGCCTGGGGCCCCCTCAGATTTGAGGCGTAGCATCGGCCCAGTACCCATTCCAGTGCCCCTTGGGTTATGGGTCCTCTGGGACCCTAGGCGGCCTGGCCTGCAGCACCTTCCTTCACAGACAGGGTGACGACATTGTTGTTCTTATGCGGGGCCTTCCGCCTGGAGTTCCGGCTCCACTAAATGGTGGGAATGAGGGTCCACAGGACAAAGCCAGCCTGGTTCCCGCGGCCACCTCAGAATGGACGGAATCCCCATTGTGTGTAGAGGCCCTGTGCCCTCCCTCCCTCACCCTGCGCCGCCGGACATGCCAACAAACAGCTCATTGAGCCTGGGGCGGGGCCTGAGAGACAACAATACCCCCAGCAGGCTGGGGCAGTGAGCTCAGCTGGGGGTGGGGGCTGCAAGGAGGCCGGAGGGTAATGATCTCAGCCTAGGGAGGGTTGGCCCTCGAACCAAGCTGGCCTCCTCCCGTGGTTGAGAAGGGCTGACCTGGGTGGCCTCGGCTTGGCTTCTCCACCCCTGGCCAAGCTGGGAAAGGATCAGCACTTCCCATGATGAAACTGCCCTGCTCTGGGTGCCAGCAGGTGCAGCAGTCTGGCCATGGCAGCGAGCAAGACCATCCCAGACCCAAGCAGCTGGTGGACCCTTCCTCCAGCTGTAACAGTAGAAAATCCTCAGTGGGGTCCTGGCCAAACCTCCAAAACTGCTAGTCCACACTGACCTCAACAGGACTTTCAGGTCAGTAAGAGAATGCATCTCCTATGACCAGAACCACCTAAGAGCATGGGGCAGTCTAAGAGAGGGGGTGAGAGGCCCATCCTTAGAGGTATTCAAGCCTTTAGTGATAGAGTATAGAACTGGTCCTTTTCAGTTTGAAGCATTCCACCAAGATACGTCTGGATTCCCTTCGTGGGTTCCAGGCCTGCTCCAATCCTGTGTCCTCTGCCGAGTCTAGGCAGCCAGGCAGGGCCTTGGGCCTCCGAGAGAAACAGGAAGAAATGGGAAGGGCTGGCTAGGAAAGTGGCATGGTCAAGTCCACCCTGCTGTCAGAGCAGGAGCTAGGAAGCCCGTGCTGATATCATATTTGTATTTGCAGGGGTCTATCTGGAAAGATGGGTTTAGAGGATGGAGCGGAAGTGAGGAGTGTGGGGGGCTGGGGATTTAGCTCAGAGGCACAGCGCCTGCCTGGCAAGAGCAAGGAAGTGAGTTCAATTCCCGGTACCAGAAAAACAACAACAACAACAAAAAAGAAGTGAGGAGTGTGGGGCAGTCCTAGCAGGTCATCAGGACCCAGCAAGGCGTTGTCGAAGACCCAGCATCCAACTCAGGGACAGGACCTGGCCACCAGCCGCCACTGGCCAGCCACAGATGCAGACAGGCCCCTTGCTACCTCTGTACCACCCTGCCCCAGATCATCCAACGTGCCACTGCCAAATGGTGGCTGTACACTCAGTCTCCTCTGCCCAAGGGCCCATGGGCTCCCAGGGCCTTAGTCAAGTCCTCATTTATCTCCCTGATGGCTTTCCATGCCTGGCTGTCTCAGTTCACAGCCAACCTCTGCACACAGTGGCTGCCCAGCCATACCTACTTTGCATGCACCTTGATCCTGGGCCTCTCTCTATACCCACTGCCAGAAATGCGCTCCTCTTTGTCTAGGTTCTGCTCCTTCCCAGGCTGGTGCAATCCCTCCTCCCCAATAAAGCCTCCTCTGACCCTTGAGGCCCCAGTGCCCCTCTGAACCCTGGTTCCAAAGGCACTGCTTTTCATGTGCTTCTACCTCTTCATGTCCTGTGGGCAACATGAGATAAATTGTGTGTTTCTCTGTGGCTTCCCTAGCCTGGATCCAGTACTAGGCACATGGTTGACCTCGTCTGCAGTTGGATGCCTGCTGGACCCAAAGTCTGAGTGCATCTGTCTGTGCCACACGCGCATGCATGCACACACACACACACACACACACACACACACACCCCTAAAAGTACTAACAAGAAAAGGCAAGAAGAATGTTGCATCTGGGGAATGGTTTTGTAGGCCCATAGTTAGTTTTCCTTGGGCCTCTGTGTGTGTGTGTGTGTGTGTGTGTGTGTGTGTGTGTGTGTGTTCTGGTTTGTGATCCTGAGGATCAAACCCAGGGCCTTGTACATGCTAAGCATTTGCTCCGCCACTGAGCTGCACCCCCAGCCTTTTGTGGCAGTTTTGATGGACTTGTCCCAGGTCTCCCCAGCCTCCTCTTCACCTGGAGGTCTTGGCAGTGGTGGAGGAGACCAAGCTACCTAAGAGGGTGGCGGGGAGAGTCAGCCACAGGGACCACAGGAATCTAGCAGCCAGAGAGGCTCCAGCAATGGGGGTGTTCGCACTGCCCAAGCAAGACTCAAGGCATAGACAGGAGTCCAGTGAATGGACAGGAAAGTGATGAGGCTCGAGTTGGGCACAGTCTGCCTGTACTCTCAGCACACAGAGAACTGAGGGCGGGGAAATCACTTGAGCCCAGGAATTCGAGACCAGCCTGGGCAACACAGTAAAACTCTCAAAAAAAGAAAAAGTTGAAGTTTGAGTACTTCTTAGTGTACGGAGTTAGCTGAGACTGTTACTAAATCCCTGGTGTTGCAGACACCTATTACGATAGCTCTAGAATTCTCTGTCACCTCCTTCCTTCAATCCAGCCTGCCCGCTTTGCTGTGAACTCTGTATGGCTGGACAGCTCCGCAGACTTGATTTTTTCTGAGAGTGGCACTGCAGAGTGGATGTAGGAGAGGAAAAGTGACAGTGGCTTACAGTGGTCTAAATTCCTTTGGGGCTGAGAAGGGGCCGGTCTTCAGTGCCTCCAGACTTCTCTGGACTTCTTCCTGAGTTTGGTCTAGGAGCAAGGCGATTCTCTGGGCTGGAAGCTCTCTGCCAACCTCAGGCAAAGTAAGTTACTCATTAGCAAGCATCAGCATGTAATTATCAACTCCAGGGGAGAGTTCAACCTGGATTAACCGCTGGGATACACAGTGTAGACACTGTCACAGGAAGTTCTCCCATACGTCTAACCTAAATCCTTCCTGCCACCATTGAAGCCCATTTCCTCTCATTCTGACAGTGGTGGGAGAAGGAGACAGCCGGTTCCCCATTCTCTGCTTAAGACCCATCACCTACTTGATTCCTTGGGCTTCTCCAAGGTGCAGGGCTCTGCCCACGCAGGAGCTATTCACAGAGTTGGCACCTGTCCCCAGCTCCTTTCTGTGGGCTCTTTCTCTGTGTGTGAGAGTGTCTGACACAGTACTTCCTGGTTCAGGCCCAGCCCTTCCTCCTAGGAAGATTGCAGGGGACTGGGGTCAGTGTGACTAAGCCCCACTCCCAGGTTCCTGCTGCTGCAGACAGCAGAGCCAGAGGTTGCGGCCCCATCTCTCAGGCCCGGGAAGCAGCTGGGATCAGAGATCAGAGGTTGTGCAAGAAAATGGAGAGAGGTCAGAATTGTAGCCAGGAGATGAGGTGTGGCTGGCAGGTGGGACACACAAGGACCTAGGGGCGATGAGGGGCAACACACTTATGGGAGGCCAAGGTAGAAGGGAGAGTGACCAGGGAGAAGGTGCGGCTGAGGACAGCCTCCCCACCTGAGAAGGAGGGTCGAAGAGAAAGGGGTTTCAGGACTGAGGCCCTGAATGCTGCAGAGAGGGAGAGGCAGCAGCAGATCTCTCTCTCTCTCTCTCTCTCTTTCTCTTTCTCTTTCTCTTTCTCCCTCTTTCCTTCCCTCCCTCTCTCTCTCTGGAGGCTGAATCTACCAAACGGCCTTTGCACTGTGCCACATCCCCAGCCCTATTTATTTATGATTTTTTTTTTTTTTATTTTTAAGTCACAGTCTCATTAAGTTGCTCAGGTTGAGCTTGAACTTGTGATCTTTCTGACTCAGCCTCCCAGAGGAGAGAAAGCTTCGCTAGGGAGGGAAAAAACATCAAGATAAGAAAGCCGGTATAAGAAGGTGCGTGAAGCTTCACACTTAGGCTCCGTTCACCCACCCGCCAGTGTTCTCCAGCGCATGTTCTCATCTAACTCCCAGAAACACCTTTCAGCTGTGCTCCCTGGGTCCTGGGGCCCAGGCAGGAGGCAAGCGCAGGCTGAGCCGAGGCCTGCAGTCTGGGGTGTCTGGGCAGAGATCCTCACCCTGAGCTTTGGCTCTCCTCTCTGAGCCTCCCTGCTTGGCCAGGGTGGGGACAGGAAGGAGCTGGGGAAAGGGAAGCCAAGGGCTCGGGGAAAGTTGCCCTGGATGCTGCCCTGAACCCAGCTGCCTCTGTGGCTGGAAATACCCGCTGTGTGGCTCCTGGCCCTAGCTTTCCAGGCATCCCCTGGTTTTGGCAGAAGTAGGGGCAGCTGCCCAGTCACCATTCAGAGCCCCTGCAGCCAGGCCTGTTACAGCCTCTGCAGCTGCCAGATCTTCACCCTTCCCCTCCCCTCTCTCCTCTCCTCCTGACCTGTGCCCAGGAGACCTAGGGAGAGCTTCCTACCAACCATGTGTCACAGAAGCTCCCAGGACCCTCAGCTTCTTCGTTCTTGGACCCACTGTCTGTGTAGGCCAGAGCTGTTCTTACTCTGCAGAGGGCACCGTCTCCACCAGTTATCCCAGTGCCAGGCCCTGACTACACTGGGTCTCTGAGGAAGGCAGTAGGAGACTAAACTAGGTCCTCAGGCTCCTGGGACCCTGGGGGAGAGAGGGCTAGGAGATCTTCCTGGTGGCCGACTATGTCCACTGGTCCCAACCACGTGGACATCCTTTTCCAGGGACATTTGGGTCATCAGCCATGAGCTACCTGCCAGTGGACACACTCGTCCAGTTATCATACCCTCTTGGTGATCCGGGGAAGATCGAGCTCCCCTGAGCTGCCAGAACTCTCAACGATCAGGGCAACTCAGAAGTTCAGAGGAGGGGTGCAATTTTCAACTTACACTTGGCCTTGGAAGGAAGGTCCTCTCTGGGAGGCTGAGGGTGTAGGCAGCTGATTCATCCAAACTGTTACCTCTTCTCCAAATCCACTTTCAAAACTCCAGTTTGGCCCTTAAGGGTATGGACTTTGTCATACCCTGTCCCTACAGAAGGTTCCCAAACAGTTGGCCTTTTCATTTCTTTCTCTTTCACCCTCCTCTGCTCCACATGCCCCATCCATTATGAGTGTTTGTGTTCAGCTTTCCTTTTCTTCCTGGAACTCATTCGCTGTCAGACATCACCCCACCGCCCCAAGTCAGCGCAGGTTGTCTGCATGTCTACCTGGGGTGGCAGGGTGGGATGGGGTGTTGTTTATTGGGTCCTGCAACTGGGTAATCCAATATGGGCCCTCTTTTTGGGGGGGTACTGGAATTGAACTCAGGACCTCATGCTTGCCGGGCAGGCGCTGCGCCACTGAGCTAAATCCCTGGCCCTTTGGTATGGTCCCTCTGTCACCCTCCCAGGTCACTTGTATTGTTATTTCCATTGCACAGATGAGAAAACTGAGGTGTAGATTTGGAGTAAAGTTATAAGCCCAAGGTGGCTAGGATATGCCGAAAGCCAGGTCCCAGTCAACAGCCTGACATGGAGGGTAGGCGGAAGCCCCAGCACCTCAATCATCTCTCACCCCCCAGTTCTCCAACTGAGAGTCTTCAGAACTCAGGGTCCTTCGCTACCTGTGCCCCATGTCCCTCCTCTTCCTCGAACTTTATTACCATTCACTGCATTCTCTTCCTCCCATAAAGCGCGCGGGAGAGTCCTTAAGGTCACCACCCAGTCCTCACCTTCCTCTCCTCAGCCAGCCTCGGGCCTGTCCTGTGGGGAACCCACTGTGTCTCTTGGGGAAAGCCCGAGCAGGCGGTTCCTCGTAGGGCTTCGGGGAGAGGAGCTGGGCCCTGGGGCGCCGCCTGCTGAGCAGGAACCGGTCCCTACCCCGGCCCCTCGGGGGAGGGCGAGGGCGGAGGTGCCTCTGCTGCGGCATCTGTCCCAGGCGGGCGGGAAGCTGCTGCATTAAATTGTAAAATCGATTTATTGACCGGCAGGTGCGAGCAGCGGCAGATGGAGAGTAGCGCTGCCGGGGCGCATCTGCGGGGAGCGGCGGCATCGATCCTGGCCCCCCTCTGAAACTGTGCGTCCCGGTCCTTTCTGCCAGCCCACTCCCGACGGAGGCCAGGGTCCGAGGACTGCGGCGCCTGGGCGGCTAGGGTGGCTGACTCCCTTGCCCTGCCCCCTCCTGGCCGCGCCCCCACGGCTGCCAGGCCCTGCCAGCCCCACTGCCCCAGTTGGCACGCGGCGGGCCGGGCTGACGCGTGGCAGCGCCCTGCGGCAGATGAGGCACGCGCCGGCCTCATTTCAATGTGAATGGATCGAATGGAGCAGCCATGTGGCAGCAACAGTTTGCAAATCTCCCCGCCTTCTGTGCAGTTCCCCGGCCGCTGCTCCCTGCACGTGGCCCCTTCTCCGCAGCAACCACAGCGGCGCCCCTCAAGGCTTAGGCGCCCCGCCCCAGCCAGGCCTGCTTCCCCGCCTCCAGCCTGCCCAGCGGGTGCTGCGGCCCGGACTCCGCCGCGCTTCTGCCGGGTGCAGTGTGCCGGGTCCAGAGCGCGGTTCCCAGAGAGCGATCGCGGGATGCAGCGGCGGTGCGCGCCTCGCTCTGGGGATGACTCCGGCTGCGTGGAAAGGAAGGGGTCCTGGGGGTCCTGAGACTCCGTGCGGCTTCTGTCGAACCCCCAATAACCCAGGGTTCATCAGAGGGTAGGGGTGGGAGGCAACCGTGGCTTTTCACGGCCACAGGCGCTGGTTGGGCCTGCTAGGTGGAACTGTGTGCGAGGGCCAAGCCAAGGGAATAGCAGAAGCAGAGGCCTCCGGGGACACTGGCTGTGGTCCTTGTAGGAGCCCAAGCTTCCATCATACTCCTGGAACCAAGGAAAGTTTCTGGGCAGCAGGAGCCCAGGTTGGTCAGGCCCTCGGTCTACACTCATTCTAGAGCAATGTCCAGCGTCTCCCTCAGGAGACTTTGATGGGTTTCGCCTCCCAAGGTGCTCTGCAGCCTCCTGTCACTCCACAGCCTCCTGCTCCTTTCAGCTCACACAACGTGTGATGTGCGTTACATTTTTTGCCCTCAAGTCACATTTGGGAGGAATCCCAGCTGTGAGGCCTCCATGGACATTAGGGCCCTCCTACTGGGATGCCTTGCCCATAGTGGGACCCTCTCCAGATTAGCAAACATAGGGACCCAGGAACAGGGTGGCATCCTGGCCAGGAAATGAGCTTCTGGGATGGTGTCCCCAGCAAACAGGTGCTTCTGAGAATTTAACTCTTTCTTCGCTGCATCAGGGGCTTTCTACATCTCTAGGATCCCTTGCATTGACTGTGAAGATAATAATGATCTCTTGTTTGTTCCTTGGTCATTTGCAAAGCACTCTGGACACCTCAGTCAGGGTAAGGTAGAGACTAGTTTCAGGTCTACCAGTGTTAATACCAGAGATGCATGGTGGGGGTAGGTGTCTCTCCTGAGAGTCAGGCAGGTGCTGGTGCCAGGAAAAAGGCATGTTTTATGAACTCCCAGGCCAGGATTTGGGGGTGGGAACCCACAGAGTTTGATGGGGCTGGATGCCAGCTCAAGGAGAGCAAGGAGCCCCTCTGGCATCCTAGGCAGGTCCATAGGATGTGTGCGGGGAGGACCTGGAAGTCCACTTGCCAGGATAGCCCGGAGGCACGCCTCGGGCCCCCCCTCGGGCCTGGGACTCCGCCAGCCCATAACCTACATTAACTCCGAGCGCAGCCTGGGCCCATCTGCCAGCCCCCGCCCCACTTCGGTTCCCCACGCCAACCCGCTCGCGCCAGATGGTGGCTGGGAGGGGTGGCCGTGCGTGGGGGACCCCGGAGCCCGGTTCCTCACCTCACCCCTCCCCCAACCCACGCTCTCAACCTCTTGTTTCTTATCCCCCCCAATCCACCACTACCACCCAAGTCAAAAAATCAGACCATGCTTGGCATTGGCAGCTGTTGGGCTCCGCGCCCCACCCCCGCGGCCTCCCCGGGGCCCGCACCGCGTCCCCGCTCCTCTTGCACTGATCTTATCGTCCAGCAACAGCCATCATTGCGCGCGCGGCTGACAGCTGAAGCCACAGGGCCCAGCCTCCCGCCGCGTTACAGAGCTAGATTCCCGGGCACCCCCGAGACTGGGCGAAGCTGGCCCTCGTCAGTCCGCGGCCTCCAGGGATCGAGCTGGGTTCCGGGAAGGCAGCTGCGCCCTGGCGCGCGGAGCAGGGAGGCCACCCGGAGAGCAAGCGGGCGAGACAAGAAGCCGCCCGAAACCCAACTCCTGCGGCTGCAGTTCCATCCCGCAGCCTTCCTGTGAGGGCTGGAGCTGCCGGGCCTCAGCCCCCATCCGGACAATCCAGTGGCCCGAAGGCAACTCTGGAGTCAGGAGAGTTCCTCCCTCTCCGAGCGAAGCGACAGGACGCTGGCGGGGGTTAGGGAGTACAGGGGGGCAGGGTGCGCGAGGGAGCTGAAGCAAGACCAGGTGAGCAGCCTCTGAAGGAGGGGCCAGAGCCTCATTACCATACAGCTGAAGACGCGCCCTCGCCTACCTCGGGGGCCACGCCCCGCCTCCCCTACCCGGGGGACAGCAAGTCCCGGCGCTGGCACGAGCGGAGTCAGGCTGGGGTCTGGGCGGGAGGAGTAGGCACGCGCTGGGCACGCCCCTCAGGCGAAGGGAGACGCCCACCAGGTGCAGGGAGCGCTACCCGGGTCCCTCACGCTCCGCCCGCTGCCTGCGCCGAGCGGCCGCGTAGAGGTTAATGCGCCTTTCGCTGGCTTCCACGCTGCGCTGAGGACGCGTGGTGGGTGGGCGATCCTAGGCTGGAAGTCAACGGGGCGAGGTCTCCCAAAGCTCCTAGTAGATCCGTGTCCTATGACCCTAGTTTTAGCTTTCGGGGTTTGAATTCTTTGCACCTGCTGGAGGACCGCAGGTAACAGCACCCGCCGCGGATGCACCGCCTACGGGGACTCCCCGGTGTCACCACCAGGACCACCCGGGAACGGCCCGCTCACCTCCTGCCCCATCTCCTGGCCGCCCCCCTGTCCTCGGGCAACTGGGGTCTCAGCCCTTAACCAGGCGATCACTGTGGGCTCGTCACTTCGGCCCGCGCAGGGCTGGGGGTTCGGGGGCTGGAAGAGGAACCGAGGGGCGGGACCTGCGCCCGACTGGCTGGGAGGGAGGGGGCGGCGGCCCCCTCCGGTCGGCGCTGGGACTGTCGCAGCGAGAGGCCGGGAGGGGAGGGGAGACTGACCGTGAGTCTGTCTGAGTGACAGGCGGCGATAAGAGGAGCCAATATATATAAGGAAGGCTCCCGAGCCCGCAGGTTTCAGTAGCGGCGCTGCGCGCAGGCCAGAAACACGAGGCCGAGAGCCGCAGCTCCAGCGCTTCGGTGCCGCGCACCCGGCCCTGGCCCGCGCAGTCCCAGGATTAGCCGGAGGGCAAGTCTTCAGCGCGGCCGCCGCCCAGTGGCCCTCACCTGGATTACCTAGGAGGCAGCTACCGCGGAACTAGCGTGGAGGCGACGGAGGAGGAGCGTTTGAAGAGCTGCCGGCTTTTTAGTGACCCCACTAGCGGGCGGACGTGCAGGAAAGCAGCATCCCCAACAGAACCAGATTCAGGGCCCGCAGGTGGAGAGCGCGACGCCAGGGGGTATGGCGGTCGCATCCCGGAGCAGCTCCGGCTGGAAGCTACTGCTGCTGGTGGCACTTTGGCAGCAGGTAACCGTCCCGCGTCCTCTCCGCCCCTCCCGCCGCGCTCCGGGCTCGAGCCCCGGCGCCCGCAGAGCTGACCGCTCCCCCCTTCCCTTGGTCCCCGTGCAATAGCGCGCAGCCGGCTCCGGCGTCTTCCAGCTGCAGCTGCAGGAGTTCGCCAACGAGCGCGGCGTTCTGGCCAGTGGGAGGCCGTGCGAGACCGGCTGCCGGACTTTCTTCCGCGTCTGCCTAAAGCACTTCCAGGCAGTCCTTTCGCCTGGGCCCTGTACCTTCGGCAGCGTCTCCACACCGGTACTGGGCACCAACTCCTTCGCCATCGGAGACGACAGTAGCGGCGGGGGCCGAAACCCTCTCCAGCTGCCTTTCAACTTCACCTGGCCGGTGAGCACAGCCTGGGCGCGGGGAGGCCTCAGAAGCCGAAAGAAGGGAGCACCCGGGACCGAGCCCCCTCCCGAGATCCTCCCCAAATGCCCGCGGGTGCATCCTCTTCTGGCCCTATCTTTTCGATTCTCTCTTGGGATCTCATCCCTGAGAAGACTTCACCAGTCTCAGTCTTCCCAGTCTTTTACCCTCCCTTCCCCCAGCTCTCTGGACTCGATTTTCATTACCAAGCACCCTGGCGCGGCGGACCAGCCTCCCGCCCCCCACTTACCCCCCCCCCCTCCCCCCTCCCCCCCCCCCCCATCCTGGGTTCTCCTCTTGCCTTCCCGGCTCGCGCCTCGCTGAACGAAGGCCCGTTATGTGGACCCGGGCGCAGTAACTGTATCCTGCAATTAGATTAATTAAACTGGCCGCCGCGAGGCACCCCTCCTCTCCCGCCCTGCTCATCTCGCGCTCTCTCGTCCCCCACCCGCTTTCGCTTCCCAGGGCACCTTCTCCCTCATCATCGAAGCTTGGCACGCGCCTGGAGACGACCTGCGGCCAGGTGAGTGTCTCGCTGCTCAGCCACAGGGGGGCGACACGGCGCAGCGCCGAAAGAGTTAAAGTGTTCCAGGCGGGGGAAGCGCGGGGTTGGAGTCGGGGGCAGGACGCTTTGCTTGGCCGGGAGCTGCGCCCCACGCTGGACGCTCAGATTCCGCTCGCTGCCTGGACTCAGAGCACAATTGCGTTTCCTGCGGGTTATTTTTGGCGTGGGAACGCGGGGAGCACGGCGGTGAGAAAGGCCGAAGCTGCCAGCGCCGCTGACGGGCCCCTTCCTGTATTTTACACCTTTCGCGAATTCCGCTCCTTTGGAAAGGGAATAATGGCTTTGGGATGTTGTTCTGACACAGAGGAAAAAGGATATTTCAGCAGCACAACAATTCTCGCTTTGAAAAGGGAAAAAGAAAACCACTACCTACCTCTGGGAGCAGAACCCCTCAGCGGGCACCAGGGGACCCTGCTCTCGGGGGTCCTCGCCTGGAAATCTTTTCTTTCTCTTCCCCTGCCCCTTTCTATGTTTTCCATTTTGACCTCTTTTCCTTTTTCTCCTCCCTATCTGCCTCCAGAACACTGGGATATCTTAACATCCTTCTATTGTCCCTGCTCTGAATGATATCAGGTCCCCCACACATGCACACACAGGGCAGCTAAGCAGGAGACTCTTCGGTCCCTCTGGCCGTGCTTGCTGGCAGGCGGGGGTCATCTGGACCAGCGGGCAGCTTTGCAGCTGACCAGCATAACTACAGCTGGGGGTGGGGGGCATTGGCTACAAGTTGCTTCCTCTCGAGGCACAGGCTGCCTTTCCTCACCTGGCCCTCTGCCCCTTCAGAGGCCTTGCCACCGGATGCACTCATCAGCAAGATCTCCATCCAAGGCTCCCTGCCTGTGGGTCAGAACTGGCTACCAGACGAGCAAACCAGCACCCTCACAAGGCTGCGCTACTCTTACCGGGTCATCTGCAGTGACAACTACTATGGGGACAGCTGCTCGCGCCTGTGCAAGAAGCGCAATGACCACTTCGGCCACTATGTGTGCCAGCCAGATGGCAGCCTGTCCTGCCTGCCTGGTTGGACTGGCGAGTACTGCGAACAGCGTAAGCAGCCGGGCCCCCACCTGTGTGGCAAGGGTGGTCCTTCTCAGCCGCAGTCTGCCCCTCCCGGAGCTGGGCCCCAGGGCAGAACAGATGCTGAGGGAGGCTGGGACCCAGACCACCCTCTCTTCCTGGTGCCCTCCCCATCACGCCGAGGCACACAAGGGCCCGCAGTGCATTCCACCCAGCATGGATCTCCTTCCCCATGCCTTCCTTCCCTTTAAGATAGCCATGGCTCCTTCTGGAGGCCTGACTGGGAAGTGAGCCCAGGACAGCAGGCACCCCCAGATGTGGAGGGAGAGCGTCGTGTCAGTGTCCTCAGCATCCCGACCTCAGCCCGTGTGCTCTCTTTCCTCAGCTATCTGTCTTTCTGGCTGTCATGAACAGAACGGCTACTGCAGCAAGCCAGCAGAGTGCCTGTGAGTAGGGGGACAGAAAGCGGGGGTGCCCTCCCTGGCCAGGCGTCTCACCTCACTCAGCCTCCCCTTCTCCCGCAGCTGCCGCCCAGGTTGGCAGGGCCGCCTGTGCAACGAGTGTATCCCTCACAACGGCTGTCGCCATGGCACCTGCAGCAGCCCCTGGCAGTGTACCTGCAATGAGGGGTGGGGAGGCCTGTTCTGTGATCAGGGTGAGTGAGGGAAGGGAAGAAGGGGCAGGGGCAGGGCCTGGGAACCAGAGCTCGTGCTCACTTGGCTTTCTCATTGTCCTGCGGCGATCTGGAGACTTTCTAAGGGGTCTTTACAGCCAGCCTCGCGTGACATGGCGGGTCCCTCTTCTCCAGGCGCTGGGGAGTGAGAGTGGCAGAAGAAGCCAGCAGTGTGACAGATTGGCAGCCTGGAGGTTGCCCTCATAAATTCTAGCAAGACCAAAGAGAGGGATGCTAGGATCAGTTCCTCTTTCTGCCTCGTAGTTACCTATTAACCCTCTGAGTGTTTGCTTACCTTGCAGGGCTGTTTGAGCAGCTCTCCCCTAAACAGCTGTCTGGTGGGGTGTGCCCGCCGGCTGCCCAGGCTGTGGCTGAGCTGGGTCTGTAGGTGGAGGGAGCGATTTCTGACTTTTTGATGTGGGCACAAAGAGCTTCCCCCACTCTCCTCCAGTGGTCCTCAACAGGCAGCTGCCTGAGCCCACACAATCCCACTGCCTGGTGTTTGGTATCCGTCACTCTTCTGTCTACACAGCAGCCTTTACGTTCTCGCTTTGGGGGAGGGAAGCCTTTCTTCTCTGTCCTTGTAGTCAGCTGCAGTGTGTACGTCCCATTTCAGGGTCAAGTGGGATGCCTGCTGCCATGGGGACTCCACACAGGCCGGGGAGGGTGTGGGCTTGCCGGGCAGGAAGGCCCTGACTGGAGGTTTTTAAGGGCATGGCACAGTCCCTGTGTTCGTCATGTGTGTGACTCTCCCTCTCTTCTCTGCTCCTCTCCAACACACATGCCTGGTTCCCGCTCCTTCCTGCTCCTCCGCCCACACTGGTGCCCAGGTGACACTCACGTATACACTCACCATGTGCAAACACAGCCACACAGCCCCGCTATTTGCGCTGTTTCCCGCTTTCTGTTCTTCCCCAATAAGAAAACAAATACTTATACTCCAGAATACCTGTTTAAAACCTCTTCCTTTTAAAAATGTCTGCCAGTGTGATGGCGCACGCCTGTAATTCCAGCACTTGGGAGGCTGAGGCAGGAAGATTGTTGCAAGTTTGAGGCCAGCCTGGGCTACACAGTGAGCTCAAGGCCAGCCTGAACTGCATAGCGAGACCCTGTCTCAAAAAGACAAAAAAATAACATAAATAAATAAAAATGTCTGGTCATCACCTATGGTGGCTCTTATCTCCCCTCTAGGCCACCTGCTGAAATTTTACCCCTCCTTCCAGGCTTATCTCAGCAGCCCCTCCTCATGGAGCCTTTTCTGACTTCTTCCCTCACCTACAGCTGTGCCTTCTCCTCCTCTTCCTACCTGCACCCTCATGACCGGCGGTATTTGTGAGCTTACCTGGCAGGACGTTGTCTAACTGTGCTTCACCAAACTTGATTAAGTGCACCAGTCACATGTGGTTCCAGGAGCTTCAGTAACATGATTTTGTTGGGCTGAGGGGATATTTAGGGCCAGAAGGCTTTGAGTGGAAGCTTCTTGGGGTCATGGGGTGAACTGGCAGTGTAAGCAGCCTGGAGGCGGGGGTGTCCCTAGCTCATCACTTCCTGTCTCTACAGATCTCAACTACTGCACTCACCACTCGCCGTGCAAGAATGGGGCCACTTGCTCCAACAGTGGGCAGCGGAGCTACACCTGTACCTGTCGACCAGGCTACACTGGCATCGACTGTGAGCTGGAACTCAGCAAATGTGACAGCAACCCGTGTCGCAACGGGGGCAGCTGTAAGGTGCGTGCCAGGAGGCAGAGGCCCAGCCAGTGT